ATGTACAGGAGGGTCTGATAAAAGAGAAGAGGCTGCATGTAGCTGGAAGCAACTACCCAAGAAACTCTGAAATAAGGCAGGTCCTCACCTGGCCTCCCTTAGGGTTAAGAGGTAAAAAGTCCCATACAGCCAGAACCCATTCCTGGAGATGCTGAAAATTTCTACCCTGTCATTTCTAAATTTTTTTTTTTTTAATTTTTTTTTTTTTTTTTTTTTGGTTTTTCTCCGGCACCGGGAACCGAACTCACGACCTTGCGCTTGCCAGGCAGGCGCTTTTGCCGCTGAGCTAAATCCCCAGCCCTTACCCTGTCATTTCAAAGGTGTTTCACTTTCTACTCTCTTCCATTTCGTTGCACCTCAGTAGCTGTACCTCATCAGCCCACAACTAACCCTTAGAACAAAGGGAGAAAGTATCTCCACCCCTAAGGCCACCAACTCTAGGCCTCTAAAGCATGGTTCTTTTCCAGTAGTATTTTTTCCACTGGAAAAAAATGACGTTTAGTAGAAAATAGTCTTCTATGGAAGATTAGGTCTATTTTTCTTAAAAAGAAAAAAAAAGGCCCACTTTCTTACTTGTGCCAGAAATTCGCTGTATAAGTGACAGAAGTCAAAGGCAGGCACACATTCATTCAATCTGAGATCTCCCAGGGGCAAAGAGTGCTGGAGAAATCTGGAAGGTGTGTAAACCTGAGAGATGTATGTGTTTATCACCTCTGAAAGAAAACACAAAAACTGAGAATGCACTGCTGGGTATCATACTAAAGGAATTGGGGAAGATCAACAAACTGTCACAAGGGTATGAGGACAAAAAAAAAGTTACATAACACTGCTTTAGAAAAATCCACATCACCCCAAATATCAAGACCTAGAATCAAACCTTTGGTATGTTCTTCTAAAGCAGAAAAGAGTCAACTGCCTATTTGTATTAATAAAGTTTTGATGAAACACAACTATGTTTACTTGTACAAGAATTGTCTTTGGCTACCGAGGCAGCAGTGCAACAAAGACTACTTGTACAGCTCACAAATGCAGAAACATCTACTACCTGCCCATTAAGAAAAAGTTAGTGAACTCCTGTTCTATACAAAAGCAGCCTGGAATGAAAAAGTAGCCTTTAGCAACTTTCAGCAAATAACCTCTGGCAATTTACAAAAAACCTTATTTCCCTTAAGTAACAGAAAACATTTATAAATTTTTATTAGCCACTTTAAAGAGTTTGGTTCATTTACACACTGCTTATCCCTTTGGACAGCTTTCCCACAAAGCAATTGTATAAGCTCACTACACAAATTGTATGACAGAGCTATTATTTTCATAAAACTTAAAAAGTTATCCTACTCAAAAAACACAAAAATGCTTCCTGAGTACCTGTCCTCATTCCCATTGCTTATGAAAAACCATGAAATATAGTCTCTACCCATTTTCTTTACAACGAAAAAATATTTTGTGAAAACATGATATAGAGGGATAATCAAACTTAATTACTCATAAATCAGCGGTTTTACAACTCTAAGAGTAAATGGCATCAGAGTAAAAAATCTGAACTGTCATTATATTCTACAAATGCACAGACAATACTTGATTACAATTATGTAAACGAATGTTATTAATCTGTACTCGTCATGGATGAAAAAAATGGGGGAGAGGGAATTAAACTGAAACAACTTCAAAAGTACAAGTATTTATGAAAACGTTTTGTTATGTATAGAAAGCAGATAAAATAACTGCTACTAAAGCAATTCAGAATAAATAACAATCATACATGTCACTTCTAAGACATCCTAAAGTACTACATTAAGTTTGCTACCATGTTTTACAAATGATGTAATAAAATACCCGCCCACACAATACTCAAATATTTGAAGGGACAAAGAGTTTCCTTTTGATGAAACCAGGAATGGGGAGAGAGAAGGAGTGCTTTGTGCAACTGAATATACATTGTAAACTTTTTAAATACCAAATCCCATTTTTCTTAAAATCAAAGAAACAAAATTTAAAAGGAATTTTAAAATTAATCACATAATTCAGCAATTTATTTTCCAAAACTACATCAAGTAACCAATATCCTCTTCAGATGTCCTGATTGGTGGCTACATTAGTAATAGTAATAATATATAGACGGACTTTAAAATATCAGAAACAGTCTCTGGCTCTATGAGTGAAGATGTCTCGAACAATATCTCAGATCATATAGTTAAGTTAGAAAAAACCTACAGCTCAATAAATGCATAATAGTTAATACTTAAATGTTAATAATAAACCTGAGCTTAAAATTTTCAGTTCCAACAGCCAGATGCTTGGGACTGGGGTGTAGAGGCAGGAAGATTAAATACTTATTCATACCAACTATAACAGCTAAGCACGTCTGGTCACTGAAAACTACAATGCTGATTTTTAATATATTAATCAGATATGTTAATAACTAGCCTAAACACCCCTCCTCCACTAGTATGTTGCCATCATACCAGGCATGCTTTCCTCATTCCTGGGGTAAGTGTTGTTTTAATGGGCTGGAGACAAACTGGTGAAATTGTCCAGACAGGAAAACGTGTGAGGGAGAAAAGAAGAGATAGTGAAACAGTAAGTACCTGAATAGTAGTTCTGATTATAAAATGACTCTGTATGCCTGGATATATATAGTCTTCACTTTTTAAACTGGTAAGATTTTTCAACCGTGGCAAGAGTCCCAGGTGGCTGAAAACACCTAACCATTTAGCTTCTAACATTTTCTTGGTTTTCAACTTCAGATTATTTCAGACTAAAACCTCAACCAGATTATATTTAGTTTGCTGGCGGGTTTCATTTTTTTGTCTCCTACAGTTTCAGTCAAAATGGTAAGTTTAAGAATCAGCCAGATCGCGCAATGACACACCTAGGAGGGCTCAGAAGAAACTTGAACCCACTCCCTCTTTATTTTCCCGTACTGATTTCACAAGTCGATGTCTTAGCCTGGTGTCCCCCTCGCGCCGACATCCTCGCTACACGAACTCGTGCTCCCTCCGCCTAGCCCAGCGCCTGAGTAGGAAGTACCCACCCTCTCCAGTGAGAGCCGCGGTGTCCTCGCCGCTGATTGGCTGCGGGGGCCGTCAGCGCGCCATAGGGCGGGGCCTCCCGCCGGAGAGCGGAATCTAGGGCTGGCACCTCTGGGAGGGTCCTCGAGCTTCCCTATCCCTCCTCCCCCACCTCTCGAAAACGCAACCAGCCTCCTTAAGCAGTTCCTTCGCCCTTTTATTTCGGCAACCGCCCTCGTACGCGCCCCGTACGTTTAATCCTCTGACTCCTCCCGCAGCTAAAGTTGAAAAGCTCTAACAATGCTCCCCCACACCAGGAAAGTTCCCAGTCCAGGATCAAATACAGGATGCTGCGGTTTTATGGGTGAAGCAAATGGTGAACTGATCTCTCCTAGGGTAGCGAAAGATTCCTTCCTCTGAAAATGAAGTAACTTAGGTTGTATGTTAACCAATTCCAACAACCAAAGGTGTGTTAACCTTTGCCAAGTGTTACACCCAAGAAATCTGCGCATCCATTTAGCAGGAAATCCCACAAAGCATGAGAGGCTTAATTTTATGTCTGGTTCAACTGTTCCCGTTTTCGGTGTTGCCGGCTGTTCCAAACTTGCCATAGCTCTGTGAGTACAAGTACTGTGCCATTCTTTGATCACAGGACTCATGGCCCTACACAGAACACATTTGTAACACACATACTCTGAACTTTTCTCTTGTAATGCAACTTAAGACACATTGCTATTGTCAGTGGGAACGTGCACTGTATCTGAAAGAAGAACTAAAGTCTAATTATGTATTACAAAGTACATAACGCTCTACAAACTATAGTTATCTGATGGTTCTTTTAATTGCATTCTTGACATCAGTAATCTCAAAGAAAAAGTCATTTTATTCTGTACTATATTTCTGATGACTCAACTGAGTCACCAGAACTGTTAAAGGACAGGGCATATATTTTACTGTAAAATAAGTATATTTTGAGTATTTAACGCTAGCAAGGAATACATCTGGGTGAGTACACGATTCACCTGTTGACACATCATCTACCAGGGCCTACAGTATTAAAAAAAAAAAAAGAGGCAAAAAGAATTCTTTCCATTTCCCACAACATCCTCTAGGCTGAGTTCACTTTCTGACGGTACTGCGGGGCCATCTGGTCTTCTCGCTTTTCTCCTTTTGCGTCTGGGTTCCCCTTTCTCTCTCTGGCTTTGCTCTCGATTTTCCAATGTATTTCTTTTCCATTGCCACCGTTGCCACCGCTGCTTGCCACTGCCCGGCGAAACCCTCCCTCCGACATTTTCCACTCCCGGGACTCGCTAGAATTCATTCTGCAGCAAGTCTCTCACCCTCCCTGTCCGTCTCGATCCACCTGGTACTCTCTCCGTATTCTCCCACCACCCGATCTCTCCCAGGGAACTTCACTTTTCTAAACTGGGCTGCTGCCGAATCCTGACAGCTAGATCGAACCAATCGGCGAAGGATAAATAACCCATGCCGCCAATAAGCGCGCGCCAGGAGGCGGGCCTTCGCTTAAATTCCTCGGGTCCCGAAACCAAAGACCTGTTGCCGCCGCGGCCGCAAGTTTCTTGGTTACGGCGGCGCCCGCGCGGCCGGGGCGGCGGAGCCCATGCGGCG